TCTGAATGATACAAACGAGTTTGAGGCCTTTTTATAGGCTTACATAACTACAAACATACTAGAATAAGGATTAAAACTAACCTAACTAAGCAAGGAAACTAAATTACAAACATAATCCGAATTGAGTTGGGAATCCTTGTTTGACACGGATTATTGGCAGTGCGAGATAGCTTCTTTGAAGCTCTCGAACATAGTCTTCCTAGATGATTCGATCTCACCCAATCCCTTGTCGTTCTTCCTTGAAACTTCCTCTGCATCCTCCAACTTGAATCAGATCGAACTCATTTCCCAAACTCAAGTTATGGGTCTTCCAAAGTAGCACCTTGATCACAGTTTCTGCCTTAGCCAAATCTGGGCAGATTCCAGGTTTCTTCATAGCGTTTTGTTGGACTTGAAAAACATACTTCCTGGCATCTCCTCGAGCTCCATGACCTATCAATGAACTCAGCAAGTCTCGAAGTTCACATTGATGCCTTGATCCTTCATTTCTAACAACTGGTTTGAGAGATAGGAGCCTCCAAAGTAGGTTCCTTAAGCTGGATTCCAGACTTAGCCATTTTCCTCCATTCTTCTTCCAAACTTGACTTCCTTCTTTCTTAAGCAATCCCAGCTTCATGATTGATCCAATTGGGATCATATCAGCTCCTGGCATGGCCGGTAAGAGCCGGGCTCCCGCAAAACCTTTGCTAGGTGGGAGCCCCCGTTTTCTGTAGAAACAGGTTGGAACCCGTGAAAAAAAAGAGAAAAACAGAAAAACAAGCAAAAAGAAGAAAGAAAAGGGTTCCAGCCATGTTCAAAAAGAAAATCGAGCACCTTGAATTAATGTGAGTCCATGATCTTTTGTTTTTGAGAGTCTCTTCATCCACGATTCATTTGTCCTCTGTTCACTATTTGCCATGATGCCGACTCGAGACTAGTGCTCTCGCCGAAGAAGCTATGAGATGACTTGTGCGTCGGTTGACCTCATAAGCTGCTAAATGATCTAGGAAGTCCTCTATCTACGATCGAGGTTGTTTGTTGCTACAGAGGTCTGGAGAGTTGCATTGGTTTGAGATAGGTTTGCTTGGGGACAAGCAAACGGTTAAGTGTGAGGGAGTTTGATAGACCGTTAGTTACACATGTTTTTACCCCTGCTCTTACTCCGTTTGAGGTATTGATTCTCATGTTTTAGGCCGATTTCACGCTAGGTTGTGCTTGTTTATGATATTTCAGGTCCTAGTACGTGAATGGAGGCTTGGGAGCGAGTTTGAGGTCGATTGGACGAGGATCGGACGCATGGCGAGGTTCTGAGGAAGTCGCACGGGCACACCCACAACCCACACGGCCGTGCAAGTGACCAGTTTGGCCGTGCGGGATTGTGCGAGAGCAAACACGGGCACAAGTGAAATCCGCACGGCCGTGCAAAGTGCAATCCTGGCCGTGCGAGATGGCTGAAGTTCGACTTAATGGTACGCCGCGTTTTGAGCCGCACGGCCGTGCACCCTGGCCGTGCGAGTCGGGGAATTCTGGTTTTTAAGCAGATTTCAGCCAAAACAGAAAGGGAGAGCTGGGTTTTGGATCCCAAACACCCAAGGGACGAACCCTAGAGAGAGAGAGCGACTTGGGAACATTCTTGGAGCTATTTTGGAGGATTTCTTCGCCATTGGAGCTCGGGAATCAAGCTTGGAGATGGAGATTGAAGATCTAGATCAGATTTCTGCAGTCTCTTTCTTCTCTATGGAGTAACTTCCCTTCACTTAGGTTTTGAGGAACCCTAGCTATGTTTGTTTGATTGGATGATTGTATGAGTACTCTGACTTGATAATCTTGAGTTCATATTCAATCTATGCATGTTTTCACAATTCAATTCTGCTTTAGTCGAGATTATTGATTCTGCTTTGATCCTATGAGAGCGAATACCTGATTAGGTCAATAGAGCACCATAGATTGATAGTAGTGGATCGATTGCTTTAGTCGAGGGTTGATTCACTGCTTTGTATCGATTGAGAACCTCATTCGATAGAGGGAGTCTAGTTCAGAACGCCTTGATCGATTGTTCTAGAGAAGGATACGTCCCTCTAGGCAATTGACTCAAGAGGGCCTTGTTCCTTTAGTCGATACTCAAGGTCTAGTCAAGGATTCTCCGCATTGTGAATGAAAGTGAAACAAGTTAGAGATCATCAATCGTTAATCTGGCTAGTGGCTAGGGGGAATCATACCTAAGTGAGTTCCCAACCTGTAATTAGATTAACTTTAACTGTAGTTTGCTAGAGTAGTTTTAGTTCTTTCATCTTAATCTGGTTTGCTAGATAATGAACTGAAGCTGAGTAATAGTAACTCTAGAGACCCGTGGATTCGATATTTATTACTTGAGCCACTATACTGCAGTCCCTTTCATTGGTTACACTTGGCCATTGTTAGGAGTTGTGTTTTAGCGAGTCACTACACAGATTATGAAGGAGTACCATCACATATTTCAGACATTCCTTTTTTTTTAAGATCGATTTCTTTGAATTTTGAAGGCTACACAGATTCTGAAGGGGTACGTACCATCCATGATTTCTCGGATTCAGCCTGAGTCTATTCTCCACAGATTATGAAATCTATAAATCGCCGATCACAGATTCAGCCTGAGGGCATTCTTCATAGATGATTAAGTCTATTAAGCACTTATTTGGATGAATTTTTTTCGGGTCCATTTTTTTAATATTCCAATGGGGTACCATAACATATTTCGGGTGATTTTTTCGAAAGACCATTTTCGTTGAATTTTGAAGGCTACAGGTGTCAGATTCAGCCTTAGACAATTCTCCACCGACGATGAAGTCTATCAATCGCTGATTTTGGCCGGTTTTTTTTCGGAGGACACTTTCATAATTTTTGGCAATTTTTCCGAAAAGCCATTTCTCTTGTGTTTTGAAGGTTGTAGATCGAATATTCGACCTGGAGCTACTATCCACCAACGATGAAGTCTATTAATTGCCTATTTGGGTGGATTTTTTCCGAATGATATTTTCGTAATTTTGGGTGATTTTTTCCAAATACCATTTTTCTTTGATTTTGAAGACTACAGACTACAAATTCAGATTGAGACTATTATTCATCAATGATTGAATCTATTAAGCAATAATTTGAGCGAATTTTTTTCGGTTTCATTTTTTACAGACTCCAAAAGAGTACCGGATAGGAACACATTAAAACTATTGGGACGGTCTAAGAAAACAAAAGTGTGAATCTATTAAGCAATAATTTGAGCGAATTTCGGTTCTATTTTTTACAGACTCCAAAAGAGTACTGGATAGGAACGCATTGAAACTATTGGTACGGTCCAAGCCTTTAACACATTGCCATTCGTCCATTCACAAATAAATTAGATCTATCTACTTTTTTAATAATTAAGCTTTGTGATATTGCCCGACAACTCTATTAAGCTTTGTGACACATACAAATTATATATGAAAGTCGATATATTAAAAAAAAAATACAGAATAAGATTGGTAATACTTATATATAAATTTAAGGATCCAACTGCAACAACGAGAGTGACCAGAGAGAACTTCTCCTGATCAAGTTCAACTAATTGACCGTAGAAGAGACAGATCGCGAGTTTATGCGTGAATCTAACCACACGACGGGATAAAATAAAAGACGCTACCGTCAACAAGGTGTGATCCACGCACAAACTAGAGATATGTCTCATCTTCTTATGAAGTATTGGCTTGGCGTAGCCAACTTCTAACAGAATTGTGCAGAGGGAAACGTTGGCCACTGAAAATTTGGGAATGGCAATTGGGATTTGGGAGTTAAAGATGAAGGATTTGTTTGTTGGAGAAATGGGGAGCCTGCCATTATATATGCTTAACAAACAGTTGTCCGACAGAAGCATTAGAGATTTCGTCAATTTGTGACTTGGACCACTTTTTCGTCTTCGGTAGTACCGTGTCCATATGTACCGATGTACGCGAGTGCATAACTGGTTGCCGAATGACCCATGTGAAATTAAACTATATGCTTTTGTGTCGGCGGCTTGTTCTTCCACAGTCCAGCTTTTGGCAACTCAGTGCAACGTTGTTGATTCGTCTGTTAAAATGTGGAAGCATTCTTGCAAACCCCTTAGTCCAAAGATAATGCTAGTTTTGGCTGCCGACTTCGGACTCTTCATAGATATCAACGGTGGGGTTTCTTCACTTCCCTTCTTCCGTTTCCTTCTTCACATAATCACATCTATATTGTCCTCTCTCCCTCGTCCCTACCCAACCCACCTACCCACTAGAGCTATCTAACGGCACGGTCTGGTACGGACCGAATCATGATGATTACGATTTAATAGTAAAAAAAGATCATAGAACCAAAAACTGGACCATCATTGCATTCGGTCTGATTTAATTTTCCGTATGATCTCGTCCAAATGTCGATTTGATCCGGTGCAATCTGATCTGGATTAAACTGTTGCACACGTGCTCCTGCCGTCTTGCCAACCTGAGGTGTGGTGGCTGTGCATGTAGAAAATAGGAGTGTGCAACGATTATGTCGACACCGGAATGTACCGGGCCAAAAGATTGTCCGGACCATATCATGCCAGACGTCTTCAACAGTTCTTGGTTACATGAATTTAATAAATACTAAAGTAAGATGAACAAAACTAAACCGGACATAATACAACGATTATCTGATTCTTGGTCATATGAATTGTTTTCTGTTGGACCGGAGTTCTCATGTTTGTCTGGTCTGACCAGACTGAACCGGTGCAAAGAGAGATGGATAGGGTGTTATGGGCTTGGCTGTTTGTTGGGCCGAGACCCATATAGTTGGCCAGCATATTTTTTTGGACGTAGCCCGAAATGTGATTCTCCGTTACCAGTTACCACCGAAATCTATAAGGAGAATAGTTTTTACTTTTTAGTGAACTCAGGCAATTTGGGCTGAAATGAGTTTACTGGGCCCCGGTTCGTGTATAAACAGGCCTACAAGGCCCATCTGGGTATTTGCCTTTACCGTTTTCCCATTTCTGAACCGCAGGAGAGCGAAGACGAGAAGAGCCCTGGTGAGCGGAGCACCATAACAGCTCCCAATTCCATCTAATCTGACCCTCAAAAGTCCAATCCTCCATTCCCCCTCACAGAAAATTGAAATCCTCCCGCCAAAAAGCCAGAATGACGAAGTCTAGAGACCTCCAGACTCCGCTCAAGGAACTCTCGCGAGCTTCCGAAACTGCGAATCGGCGATCGAAGGAATCTCAATCCAAGAAGCCTCGAAATGTTGAGATCCTACCTCCAGAAATAGTCATTTCCGTCGCGGTTGTTCAGCCGCGCAATCGGATTTTTCACTCCTCTTTCTTCCTCGTTTCGCAGATTGCTAAACGGAGCTTGACCGGTGAGTTCACCACCATCTCTGAAGACGCGTCGATCGAAACCGCTGGCGATGGCAGCGGTACGTCGGAGGTACTGGACGCGGAGCACAACGACGAGCTGGTTAAGGTACGATTGCTTACGTCCGTCAGAATTGCCGCTCGAACTTCCTTTTGTGATTGTGCTCTTTCGCACTTTTGGCATGAGAAGCATCGATAGTATCGAAATTGTTCTATGCGGTTGAGATTAAGGATCTTCAGTGCCGGTTGACGGGCGGTTTGAGCTCTGGATCTTTGCATCTCCACCCCTTGTTTGCTGTTCCTAATCTCTTGTTGTGTGATATGAACGTTTGTTTGTTTTCCTGGATGATTTGAGATAACGAATCTGTACTGCTGGTTGACGAGCGGTTTGAGCTCTTGTCCATTGCATCTCCAGCTCTATTTGTTGCTCCTTGTTACGGTGTCATGATAGCGTTTCTTCATCTGTGTACTGTGTTTGATCGTTCCGGAAGTTTAATTTCAAAATTGTTACAAGCAATTTCTTCATCTGTGTACTGTGTTTGATCGTTCCCCAAGCTCAATTTCAAAATTGTTACAAGCAATTTCTTGCGCTTTAGGATTGGCTAGATCAGAATCGTTAGATTAGTTCTTAGAATCTACTCTTCTATAGCTTGCTTAGGTGATTTTGCTGGTTAATTTTAATTCACTAAATCGTTTGGTTGTTTACAGAACTCTTTGATTCTGAGTCCAACTCTGTCCGGTACATCAAAGATAACTCCTCCATCCTCTGACGCCCCTCCAACTTCGAAGGCGACCAAAGTTTCTCCTAATGGAGTTGACAAACTAGTTCATTTAGCTAATCGGCCCGCAGAAGCAGCAATCATTATCGGCCTTCTACGAAAGGTCCAGCTGGAAGCTCCTAAATCCGGTGATGCGAATAACCGGTACATGAAGATTCTGAAGGAGTTGGCTAAGGTCATTGCAGATGAGTGTTATGATCTTCCTGAAGAGAGAGTCTGGCTGATGAAGTTTCTTTCAGGGAAACGAGGAGTCTTGTTTCTGTGCTTGTTGAATTGGATCTCCGTATTTTGCATGCTGGTTTACTTCAATGGTGGACGTGGTGGTGGCTCTGACTCTGGAATTTCCCCAACTTGAGGCAAAATCTGTGTTTTAAGGTACAAATTCGAACACTGGCTTTACTTTGCTTCTCAATGAGATTTAGTTACACAGTTTAGTTTTGCTATTTCCATTTGGAGGATCTGTCCATCTAATTACCTTCTGTGATAGGATTGCTGATTACATTTTTTTCTTAGACGAGAGACGAGGCCAGTAGGTTATTGTGAACCTGATTATACTGAATTGAGGAATTCTTTCTGAGAGTAAGGCCAGGATGATTGTGGCCTGTTTTGTCAATCAGTGTTTAGCCAAACCTGCAGGATGTAGCTCATAGAACTTTAAGTCATTAACTGAACGAATTAAGGGTTGTTTGGAATCTAGAACCCTTATGTTTTTGTTAGCCAGTACAGGAACTCAGGCTTGAATGTTATCAGCTGGTTTCTACTTCGGTTTTTCGTATTTAAGAGTAATTGCATGTAATTAGCCCTCCAGTTTCGTATAATTTTAAGTGGATAGCTGATCACCATAAAACATAAGGTTGAAGAAGATTGTTGAAACTCTGACCTGGCACTATTTTCCGATTAGGAAACTAAATTGTTAATCAATTCAGGATAATGGTTGGTTGGTCGAATTAACAAGATCCAGTTTCTTTCAAATTGTTATGATAGGTCTTCTTAAATTTGGACAGCTGCAGTATCAAGTACCTTTCCTCTAGAATTGCTGTCTTGCTATTATTGCTAAATGACAAGGTTATGGGGGGTCATCATTGGCTCATTTGATGAAAGTGGTTTAAGTGTAAGAGGACTGGCTGATTAAGAAATCTGGGATAGCTAGCTAGTTAGACAGCTCTCGATATTAAGGGTTCAAACTTATAACCTGAAATAGACTTCTTTGGGTTATTCGAATTCCTATAGCACAATCCTTTTGCGCCTTGGGTGGTGAATTTTTATTCTGTGTCCTTATCATTCTTGAATGCAAGACATGTAGAAACTAGAATGACCGCCGAAGTCTGTGTTGCCCCCACCAGATTCTTGTATGTGTATGCGACTGTCTGTATTCATGTTGGACCGCTTTGAAAAATGTTTCCTTGTTCTTCCCTTTTGTGATAAAATAGCTTCATAAGAGCTCTGAGTTCTTTTCTGATTATGAAACTTTCTGGTCCAGTTTCACATAACGCCAAAGATTCGTTGTAGTCCACCAAAAAATTGGTCCAAGTCTGTTCAATTAAAGAATAAACACCACCTTTTCGCGTTTTGGTTTTTCCGTTTCAGTGATATAGGTAGCATACTCCAAACAAAAAAGCTTAGTTGTAAAGCTCGGTGGTCTCTAGGTGGAGGCATATCTACTCTCTTCCACTACTTAGACTCACACAGGGTATTTTGGTATGACATTCCAGTGGAATAAGTTGTTTTTGTCTTGCATTAGAATTGCAACAGAGACTCATTTCAGAACCGTAAAACCTTCAATGTTATTTGTAGATTTCAGTAGGAGATTCGACGATCCATCAGATTAGAAAGGTTAGCCTGGAGGCCAAGATTGAGTCGTAGATTTTACAGAAACGCATCATACTCATGGTCACCATTTATTTCCAGTGACTAAGATGCCTTAACTATGCTATCATTAACTTTAGTTTCATGATGTTTAGGGTTGAAAGAATGCTACCATCATGACCTTACTGTAATCTGCTACTGCGTCTCTCCAGCATGCTTGATGTCAAGCATCTTCTGAATCAACTGTGTTCCTTTTGCTTCCTTGTAGTTGTAGCGTTATATTGTTGACTAGAATGATTTTGTCAAACCCAAACTCACAGCTTGATCTCTTTTTTTTTTTTTTGTTGCTTAATTCCAAAAGTCATTGGCTTCTACTGTTTACTAGATATGGTCGTATGTGATAGTGACCCAAAATCTCACTTAACCGTGACAGGTTTTTTCAGTTGAAGAAGCAGTCAGAGAAATGATGAAGAAGAATTTGTAGCAGCTGAATGTGTTCCAGTTCTCCACTCCATCTGTTATTCAAGTCTTCACAAACAGGTTGGTTGGAACTTTGAATACGATTATCCTCCATTTGACTTTCACAGTAAATTTACATTGCATCTTGTCATCAAACTTGGAAACACATCGAACTATGCCTAAACTTTGACCAACAAAAAACAAAGATTGCTTTCAATGCCATAGCAATCTAAGATTCGTGTTTTCGCGAACCATTTCGACAACGAATTGAGTTTCCATTTGGTATGATTGAAACACACTTTTTTTAAAAAAAATTTAGGGGCCGGAAGAGGAAGAAACCCTTCAAATTTGAGGCATGCCTTTTTCACCAACAGCCAACCTAAACCTGCCAGTACAGAGATTCTCCATTGATAATATTTAGTATTTGAATCCTCTCAATCATTCACTCTTTCACCATCTCCTCCCATATGCAAATAATTGCATCATTTTCTCGGAGTTTGTTTAATCGAATCCCTCTTTCTCAGTTCCTCCTCTCCCACATTGTAGTGCTCGTTGTTTTCATTGTGTCTCTTCCATGGGAGGCAATCCCTCTGGCATCGCCATGATGCCGTGCAGTGCATTAGATTTTCCCATAGGTTAGACAGATTATTAAAATGGTGCACACATGGTCGCCATGATTTTTAGGTGGGAGAATTAGGATTAGGTTCATCATTACCCACCCTTGTGTGTGTTTTTAGATAAATCTTAAACAAAGTTGGTTTTAGGCTGTTAGGGATTAGGATAAAGTAAATGATGCTTTAGTATCAATTAACTCACTAAATCATAAAAGGAATATTTGTGTTGGGCATTTACAGCTTGAAAATTACAGTGTAAAGCGAGTCCCCTTGTCTGTTGTTGAAACATGAAAGTGGGAATCGGCTTGGAATTCATGTTCTAACTTGCTCATCATCATGAATCAGTCAAAGATGGTTTCTAACAAGCCACTTTTTTGGAGGAGAAATCTACATGATTTTACTGTTTTTTTACCTTCAGTTTACTATTGGTTTAGCCTGGCTAGACTGATGTGGTGTAGTGGCTTTCCTGTTTTCAAATTAATCACAAAATATCTCCCCCCCATAATCCAATAGCCCTGTAGACACCTTCTTTGCATTTGATGATTCCACGACGAACTAGACTGACTTGGTTAATCAATTTTGAGTAGGGTAATTAGCATAAATGGTCACAAATCTTTGCACTTAGTACAAAACAGTCACAAACCTTTAATTTGTAACCATTTGATAACAAAACTTTTTACTTAGAACAAAACGGTCACAAATTAAACAATGTGACCATTTCATACCAGTTCAAACTTTTGTTACCGTGTCGTTGCAAACTAGACTTTTGGTGACCGTTTTGTACAAATTAAGTCCAAAAGTTTGAATGCTCAATCACCGTTACAATTCGCTCTAGTTGTATGGTGGTTTTGTTAATGTATGTGAATGATATGATCGTCATAAAGGATGACAATGAGAGAATACAATGGCTCACAATCGGGTTCCAGACTGCTTTTTAGTTGAAAAAACTCTGTCTACTTTCTTGATATCGAAATTTGTTTTTGATATATTGGTATTGAAATTGAAAGGTCAACTGAGGGCATTCTTATTTGGAAAAGCAAATATGTCGATGAACACATGAGCTGACATCTTATATGTCGTTCAAGTGGTTAGTGTCATATACTTAACGAACAAACTACCCGACCTCAAAACATGACAAACATTTAATTCGTAACGATTCGGTAACAAACCTTTTCATTTAAAACAAAACGGTCACAAATTAAATAGCGGTGACCATTTTATACAATTTCAAAGTTTTGTTACCGTATTGTTACAAATTAAAGGTTTGTGACCGCTTTGTACTAAGTGCAAAGGTTTGTTACCATTTATGTTAATTACCCATTTTGAGTACGTGAAGCTTTTTTAGCAGACATTTCCACCCTTCTTTTTAGCATAATTACATGCAATGCAATCATTAAACTAAAAAACCCCGTTATTAATCACACTAACAGCACGATTATACTGTGAAGTCCAGTCATGATTCATGATAAGGGAGGTTTTGCAAAGCCTGAAAGCACACATGTTGATATATAAACCACATTTTGATTTCGACCCTTATGATTTTCTTTTATCTTGAATTAATAATAGTTTTTATAAGAGAAAAAAGAACAGAAAACATTAGAAAATCTGTTGCAGGCAGGGTTCAAGTGTGGAGCATAACTGTCCACGACCACAAACTGTCAAATTTGCAAAACCAACTTCAGCTCTTCTCCAACACACACACAAAAGAAAAAGAAAAGGAAAAAAAAAAGCCTATACGATAGGATAGTGCCAGAAGAACAACCCACATTTGCACATGCAGTTCTAAAGATCATCCCTCCCCCACGATTAATCATTGAGCGGGCTCGGCCAAAAAACATGCTAATACCAAACCAAATGTTCATCCGGACCCGCCTCTCTCTCTCAGTGGAAGCCAACTCCACCAATATTCCCTCCAACCCCTGCCTGACACGTAAGCAGCCCATACTTTTCCTTACTTTTCCTCTTTATTTTCAAGCTAAGAGCATCTCCATCAATGCAATTGTAAACTCAATTGCATTTGTTATTTTTTTTGCCAACTCAAAAATTTTGCAATCCATCTCATTTTACTTTTATTATACCTACATCAATGCAATTCATTTGCAATTGCATATGTGATTTAATTCCACATATAAAGGTAAAAAAAAGAAGAAAAAAATTTAAAAGAAGAAGAAAACAATCGGTCCTTCCCATAAAAATAGCCATGTTGGCTTTCACTTCCACTTGCATTATATGCAAGATTGCAAAAGTGCAATTGAGGCCTACAGCAATGCAATTACAGTTGCAAGCATTCCACGTCACTTTGCAATTGCAAAATGTGACCGATGGAGATGCTCTAAGTGAACTGTTCATTGCTGCGTTTGGACTTCTGGTTCTCTGGTTCGAATTCATTGAACAGAATCCTGAAATCCCAATGAGAAAAAGGAAAACAGAGTGGAATGAATGAATCTGATGTTTGGAGGGTTGAATTTGTCCAGCAGAGTCAACCTCTCTCTTCCAAAAAAAAAACCAACCTCCAATCTTCATGGCGTTTGCATTCCGTTATTTCTTTTTCTCATTCCCTCCCCCCTTTTTGGCTAACCGAATTCGTGTTTCGTCACAGCTCATCCTACATGCCCCCTTTTCCCTTCTTTATTTTCATTTTCCCAGTATATCTTTAATATTACACATCAGATACGACTTGCCAATTGCCATGCTAACTGTAAATCAAGCTAGTGGTTCCCTCAGTCGAAAGGTTAAACGAATAGTTAGGTATGTGCAGCAGCTGAGCACATTTTCTAAATGTTGGAATGGTAGAGCAACTTCAGGGCACAATCACATCAGACTAGACCAGTTCGGATTCAACCGAATTGGTTGAATTCGGTTTTGAACATGAATTCTATGAGTTACTACTAGTCTTATGTTTTGTAATTAACCTCAAACGCAAGATTTTTCGTCAAAGGAGTTTATCCAAAACCCTGATGCTAGGCTATGCCAACTCTCAGTAGCCGGGCTCTGTGATAAGCTTTACACCGTCACGGTTTGTGGATAAATGAATAGGGAAGGGAGGTTGGATGAATTTTGGCGTAACTTGTATGCGTAACTGCAGGCAACATAAAGGACTCGTGGTGGGCCGGCTTCCAATCAATCTCCTCTGCTGTATCTTTCGTGTTATATAAAATGGATCCCACGAAAAATTATTACCACACGAGTCTGCTTAGTACAATTGCTTTCGTCTCTTTGAAGTGGGCACAAGCTTTTGCCGATTTCCTCCTGTTTGTTTGGCGGTTTAGCTTAGACTGGTAAAGATTAGAGGATCGGTTTCGTTGTTAAGATTTGACTTCCAGTGAACAGTGGTAAAGTGGGTCTCTAATTGGTGGGCTTTAATGGCGATGCCATTCTGAGGTTCATTTCTCCCTTTTGGCTTCTGTCTAAGGACGAATTTTTTCCATTATTGAATCTGGTAATGAAAGTTAATGCAGATTTGTGGTGGAAACTTAGAACTACAATCACTCTTGGAACTGTGTCGTTTTCGTTATCCCTACCCTTTTTAACTGTTGGTAATCATCCGAACACTAAAAGTTGTTTGGGTTCAACAATTACACAAAAGAAGAGAAAATGGCTCTTAAACTCCAGAAAGGAGAGGAGCAACATGCCAACATATAACTCCAATGTGTGCTTTTACATGTGCCTCGGTAGGTTAGAGCTACATAAATGATAGCTCCCTCCCGATCCAGGATGTGTGCAACAATTTGGTCTAAAAGTCAGATTGGGTCGGGACGTCGGGTTTCATTTTGATTCGAGTTTGAGTATCACGTTCAGAAATTTTCAGTTATTATTTGCACTGATCCATTGTACCCATGGAGAGATAGTGAATTGAAGCAATAGTTGGATGGACAAAATTGATATGATCTTTCTGTAGATTTTGTTTCAGACGTGTTCTTGATCGATTTTGTCTTACTTTTCTAAGTTCTAATCACATGTGACCGTTGTCAATTTTAACCCTCAATACCAACACATATTCAAGTGTTTGGTAGTTGGGACGACGTAAACTTAACATTCAGCATATAATTGGCCTCCTAAAAAATAAACCCTCGTATATTGGTTGGATTAATTGCTAGTTACTTGAAGTACAAGAATAATAATATACAGACGTTTTATAACCTTCCTTAAAATAAACTCAAAACTACATTATGAAACTCATTCTACCAAATCAAATCATCCAACATTTGCCTAACAATAATATGAGAATGAAACCTTTGGTTGCCTTGAGAAATTGAGAACAATGATGGTTCGGATTGGGTTTGACCACTCGTTGGCTCGGAAAGAAGAACCGGGGTGGCTCGCTCGCACCACTGAGCCACTTACTTAGCCTACAAAAAGACGAAAGCCCAAAATATAATAATGGCACTAAAACAGGATTGCAGGAATGACGAGTGCTCCCTTTTTAATTCCCTTTATAACCCCCTCTCTCCCCCACTCTTTCTCTCTCCCCCATCCCTCCTTCCTTCCTTCCCCTCCACCTCCTCCCTTTCTCCTCCCACTCACCTCCCTTTTACCAACTCCGTCCCGTTCTCTCCCTCTCTCTCTCTCTCTGAACAAAAAAAATATTTCACAGCTCCGTTCTCCCATGGTTCATCCGTAACGAATCAACAATTCCTCTCTCGCAAAGGTAATATTCTCGTCCCTCCTCTCTCTCTCTCTCTCTCTCTCCATCGCTTTATTCCTGAATCGCTCGATCCTTGAATCCTTTGATCACTCTGTTTGGATGCTCTGCTGCAAGATTTCATACTCATAGCTCCCTTCTCGCTTCCCGTTTGGATGCCGAGAGAATTTTCGCTTTTGATTTCCTGTCTCTTGAATGAATCGCGCTGGCTTTCTCTTGTTATCTCTCTTTCAGCTGAATCTGAACTGAGAATTCCTGCGTCATATCTGAATCTGTACTTTTTTTTCTCTCTTTTGGTGTTTGTTCTTGTTGGATTCGTCAGCTGTACGAAGCGAGGATTGAAAGGAAGTAGGGTGAAGAATCCGATTGCGATTGAATTTTTTGATTTGAGATATTCGGCGATGGCGTCAACGATGATCTCGTCGAATCCTGTAACGAACTCGACCGCGAACTCGGATCGGTCCAAGAGAAAAAAGAAGAGGAAAGCTGCTTCGGCGGAGCAATCCAAACAGGAGGAAGCTCTGAAATGGAGAACCGAGTCTCAGCAGCAAATCTACTCCTCCAAGCTCATCCAGGCGTTGAGCCAGGTCCAGCTCAATCCGAGCTCGCCTTCGGCTCCGCGCCGCGGCCGAGCCGTCCGCGAGGCCGCCGACCGCGCCCTCGCGGTGTCCGCCAGGGGCAGGTCGAGGTGGAGCCGAGCCATCCTGACCAGCCGGATCAAGCTCAAGTTCCGCAAGCAGCAGAATAAGCACCAGCAGCGGCAGAGAATCGTCTCCGCCGTTGCCGCCGCCGGCGGCAGCGGCCGCGCGAGGAAGCCGAGAGTCAGCGTGCTGAGGTTGAGAGGTAAGAGCCTGCCTGCGGTCCAGAGGAAAGTCCGGCTCCTCGGCCGGCTTGTTCCCGGCTGCAAGAAGGAACCGCTGCCGGTGATTCTGGAGGAAGCCACCGATTACATCGCTGCCTTGGAGATGCAGGTTCGTGCCATGAGTGCCCTCGCCGAGCTCCTGTCCGGCTCCAACCAAGCCGCCGGCAGCTCCAGTGCCTCCAGCTGATCTCTCTCTCTCTGTATGTTCAAAAAGAAAAAGAAAAAAAAAAGAGAATGTCATTTTCTTCTTCTTCTTCTTCCTTCTTAATCTCTTAATTAAATTCCCCAATATTATCTCCTCAATCATCATCCTGTTAAATACGCCTTCCCGTTTTCATTTTTAACTTTCACCCCCTCTTCTTTTTTTACCCGTTGGCTTCGAGTCTTGTCTTCTTAGAACAATAACTTGACCTGTTTACAATTCCTGACACACTTAACAGGAGCAGTAAAAATTTCATTGGAGCATTCCCCCCTCCAGTGATCTTTTTTACTGTTCCTTTGTGGGGTTTCTTGATTTTGGGGAACAAACCTGATGGAATGGAGTGTATATTGTGAGTTGCTGTGTATCGTTGTGTATAGGACAAATTGGTTTTTTGTAATGTGATTCTGTGTGTGTGTGTGACACTGTTTGTCTGTTTACAGTCTCTCCCAGTAACCCTGTAGTATAGAGATACACCATTGGCGTTAAGCGCCAGTTAGGAGGTTGTCACCTTCCGGAATTTGGTAAAAAGAAGCTTTAAAAATGGTTCTTTTTGGTGTCACGAGGTGTCATAATTTGGAGGGGGAAAAAAGCGAGCTCTTGAGGGACACTAGTATAATCGCTAAATTTCAGCTTAAGAAGTCATTCTTGTACTGTGACTAACATCTGGAGTTAATGATTTGCTCGTCATTTAATTATATTTGTTAGACCTTCAATTTCAGTCACTCGCCATGGGAACGAAGTAACCGAAATACTTCCCGATTGATTACGATTTCGTTGCTATCGACGATGGATACCTTCGTACTTCGTCGAACTAATATCTCTGCTTTGGTATGGTTGAAAGAGTACTTGTTAAGAGGGAGCTCCATCTTGCAGCTGTTTGATGTCGAAACCAAAACGACCTGCCTCAGAGTCCCCAATAACGTCTTGAAAAGGGTACTACCACCACCCAAAACAAACCCACACCAAAGTACCCACCCTATCTGTCTAAACAGCCCACATGTGTTTTGTAGCTTTCTTTGGTTGGCGTTTACTTGAACGATGGTGTTCAATCACCCATCACCATTCTCCTCTTCATCATTCTGATCCGACTGTTAGACATGGTAATTAACTAGCGAGAGGGTGAACAATGATTCGGTCCGATACCCTTAAGCAAAACTTACATTAATATCGCTCTGGATTGTTCGAAATAGGTTATCTTAAAACTGTACATGTTAAAATGAGGACATACCTACAACATTCATTCCCGGACTCGGAAGCAAAACGAACGGGATTTTTTTTGGTGATCTTTAGGTGACTTTCCAATCTATGACAATGACACAAGCGATTCGGTTGGATATCTATCTTGCTTCGGACCGAACACCGACTCGACTCGAGTCTGGGTCGGACCGCGGAGCAAGCCAACCCTCCACCGACTAGCTTTTACTCTTTTGATAAAGCAGGCAAAAGCAAATGAAAGGAAAGTTTGCAGATAGGGTAAAGAATGGGGATGGACACCTGCCCCTTGCCTTGCCCTCTTGTTTTTGTCCCAAAAGGCATAATAGAGATTAGAGAGGTGGGAGAAGAGAAGAGGCCGACCCTATCATTTTCAAAGGGCACATCCGCCCCTAAATTGTTGAAGGGCACCACACACACACACACGGCTGCCTCTCCTCTCCTGTTCGTTTCATTCATCACTGTCACATTATTATCAAATAGACGATCAGATCCATTTGTTTCCAAGGACAAAATGAGCTCTCTCATGATTGAAAAAATGTAAAATCGGATTCCAAAGTGCCCTGAAAAAAACCGAGATTTTTAAGGACCACCTGCCCTCCAGACTTCCCCCGGCTGCGATTTAGGTGGCGGACGGACATGGCCGCCCATTAATTGTTGTTTGGAAAATTTCTTCTCAACCCTCGAGCGGCAGCAGATATTGTTCATTTTGCTGAGTGGGGAAGTTTTTTTTGGGGGTTTTGAGAGGGAAAAATGGAAATGAAATCTTTCACTTCACATGGTGTGCATTCAATTCTCTTTCGGTTTGGGGGGGAGAATAGTAGAGGCCACAGGAGGCATTAGCTTCCAAAAAACCCAGCCTGAAAAACCCACACATGCACCCATGTGCCCCTTTTTATTGATGTTAATGTGCCACCTCAGAGATCTTTCAGAGGTAAAGTCAGGCATAGTAGTAGGAAACCAAGAAAAAACTAATAATAAAAAAGGTCAATTAGTTATCGAATTTCGGTATTTAACGGACATGACATTCAATGTTTGAGCAGCTAATAAATGTAGATATTTAACGAATATGTCAGTGGAAGTAGGAGTAACCGACGGATCTCGACGCTTGACGACTTTGTCATTAAATGTTGGAACAAAACGGTTATGTTATTGTTCATCTTTAAACGCCTGTGCAGATTTTCATTGTGTGTCAACTACGGGCAGGGTACCAGGGTGTGAATTCGGGACTTGGCTCGGGCACTTAGATTAGAAAAAGCGGGTTTGAGATTATTAATGACAGGTAGGCACCTGACAGTATTCTTTGCAGGTGTATTATCTCACGCTTTTTTACTCGCAGAAGAAGAACGAAACAATCTACAAAAACTTAAGGGCCCTTAGATTACAAGGCACCCACCATTCTGTTTAGTAAATCTAAAAGGGAGGTATATTCCGAAAATCAGAATGTATTCGGCGGGAGAAACATCCTTGTAGCACTAAAAATATTCTAGCTTTGCTCCTAGGATGACGAAGAATTCCTCGATCATGTCTTTCTACTGTCATAAAATCAGCTCATGTTTCAACGGATAAAATCGATGTGATTATAAATGTTGTGATTCCATTTGCTAGTCATCCTAAACTATAGTGGACATTTATGTAATGAACTCAAAACTCAAAAAGAGTTAGATAGTGAAAAAGAACCACTTGTCACTGGCTCAGAGCTCCTTTCTTCCTTTCTTTTACCACCTTTTGGTAAGGAAGGAAAGACGGCTTTCTAGGGTTGAATGGTGAACCAATTAACACCAGTCCCTCCTTCCTCCACCCCTTCTGTACTCTCTCTCTCTCTCTCTCTAACTAGTTTCCTGTTATCACATCTGCAGGGAGAGTAGAATAGTAAAAACTGAGAGTGACAGACAGCAAAGCAGTAAATGTACAAAGAGTACAAAACCAAAAGGGAAGGTGGGAAAAAAGATGTAGAGAGTGATAGATCATAATAAAGACTCCATATTTTTAAACCCTTCTTATCTTCAGAAGCTAGCTAGCAGCTACCATATATGCTATGGTTTTGTATGCCTGTCATGCAGATGGGTAATTGACCATGCACAGCATAGTGAGGGAGAGAGATAGATGAGTGGGGCTGACTGTGTAACTTTGATTTGAGGGACTGTTTGGTTTTGTGGAATTTTGGGTGGAGACTGTGACTACTTATTCATCACTCCAAAACTTCTGGCAAACATGCACCGTCACCAACCATCGATCGACTAACGTTGATTGTTATTTCCATTTTCCCGAGAAAAATTCATTTGACTTCACGAGGTTCGGGAGGGAACGAACTCACTAACGCGCTAATATTGTTCGAAATGCTGATAAATATCATATTTGAATGAGTGACCTATAAATCACGATTTCATAGTATGTTATGCACAACTTTCCTTCTTTTATCCCTTTCCTTGTAGAGTCAGCCATCCAAAAATCATTAGTCTCGTAATTGGGTGGAGATTACTAGCTGGAATGATGCGCTTAATCTCTTTGGTTTGAAGAGTGTTTTGTTTTAGTTGGTTTAGGAGGCAAGTTTCCATCATATTCATAGGAAGGCAACAACCACCCAACTCTATCTTCCACAACAGACACTTTATTCTCTACATTATCTATCATTCATTAATTGAAGTCTTTTGGCGATGGATGCTTTTGTTTTGGTTGCAAGTAACGCACCACGACTTTTATTCGAAAGCGAATCATATGATGATGATAAGTTACGATATTTGATGTCTAATTAGGTGTACAAACTCTATTGGTGTGGTAAGATTTCGTTTCAATTTTTCGTTAGAACGATAATCTTTAAAGTGTAGGTAAATAATGTAAATAGATGGAGACGTCCCTTCATTTAGAGGTCGTCAATATTCAAGAACGTGTGTCGCATAAGACATGATTAAAAATGAAATATTGAAAGATATTCAAGAGTTCGAGATATCATCAAAAGTTTATCATGCATGGTCTGAAAATGCAAGCAAAACTCCTGTTTTTTGAAGATTCCCATGGCCCAATTATAACCCATTATGTTAAATGTGGTATCGAATTTCGAAACTATTATCAAAGGATATTCATCATATTTATTGGGCAATATCTCATCATATGTTAAATGTATAGGACAAAGTTAATATTAAACTATGATTATTAGATGGCATGCATTACCAATCCCTCCCCACCCAAAAGGAAACAAAATTTACCAATTTGCAAAACCCACCAATAATACAAAATGGGTCGATCTTCAAACAAAAGGAAACCAACATCGTACAAGATCATCAACAATCTCTCTCCATAGTCTCTAGCTTAGCTACCACATCAGTCCATCAGTGATCATCAATCACCTAATCATGGGGTCCTTGCCAGTTAATTACCCAATTATTATATGCTTAATTGATATTTTAATTGTAATTAATAAATAATTAATCGAAACCCAAGTTGAAGACACTTTGGACTTTGGTAGAGAACAAGAAGAAGAAAAGAAAAGAAAAACTTATGTACATCGCTTCCTTTTCCAGTTGGCCTACTTCAACTTTGAAGCATGTCGGTTCGGCGCCCCCTTCCACCCTAGCTACTATTCTTCCTAATTTGTGCGTCTTCTTTTATAATAAAAAAAAAGCTCACAAGGTATGGCCAAAAAATTATAAGATTGACAATAATCAAGAGCGATAATTTGTATGCAATCGGATTCTCGATCAAAAAGTTTGTTTTTAGAAGAAAAATACATGAAATTGACACAAAGAACCAGAAAGAGAGAATGCTATCCATCT